AGCCTTTGATGGTTAGGTAGTGATCCTTGGCCACCCTTTTCACCTCTGGACGACAGAGGTCTTCAACCTTTTGGAAAGCCTCTGTGGTGGTCTTGAGGCTATCAATACCATGACAAGGGATCTCTAGGAGATCCGTTATGCCAAAATCAAAGTGAGGGGAAGAGGAGTGCATGCAATCCCTCGCTCAATCCCAATTCTGGACAGGGATGTCTGGTTCTACTGCTCGATCGAGGTGGAGAAGACAAGTATGTGACAACTAGGCTTGGCAGAGTTGACTCACCACATTGTTCCAAGTGCACGTGACAAAACAGGAGAAGCTGCAAAGTCAACCGCCAATTAGAAATTGTGTGAAGTTCAAGGTCTAGGAGCTACAGAAGTGAGGATTCTTCACCCAGGAGGAAACACTTGAAAAAAAATATCCATTCTAGGAAACTTCATGGGAATAAAAAAAGAAGGTAGATCAGAAAATGGAAAGGTCATTTAAATTTCAAAAATCTTACAGAAAAAGGAGAACTTTAAGGAGAGGGACGATAAAGTAGAAGGCAACGATAAAATCCGACCCTTTTTTGCCCCCCTGTGGCTCAAACTTTTCTTCAGTCAGCTTCGAGTCCTTGGACCGAATAAAGACAAAAACCCAACCCATCTCGGCCAAGGGCATCAAAGATTATGCCAGCCCCCCTACTCCTATGTTTGTTGGCAAAGATTTCCCAGACACCCCTCTTTCTATTGAAGTAGGCATAAGAGACACGAAACACCCTCCAATGCCATCGAGCTCGTCATCGGAAGATTCAGAGGAGGATCCAGACTCAGATTTAAGCTCTTACGAGTCCAAGGCTGACTTTGATGGCCACAAGGTGGCTCTGGAAAGATCTAAAGCTTTGTTCGAAAAAAGAGAGGTTTGGGGAAGTGTTGAAATCCTGGAGCTAATGCAGCTTGTAAATCCCAACTATGGACATTCTGCTATTAGAGACCTCGAAAAGAGAGGAACGAGTGAACCAGCGACAACACCCAGTTCATCCCACTCAGCACTCTCTTCAAATCCCTTGCCTTGTACTTCTTTTGAAAATTCTTCTCCTACATTACCATCTCATACTGCTCACTTTGCTCCCTCTGTTTATGCCCAGGTGCTCGTGGTCATATATCCCAACCTGCAGCAAACCTTCAACAGTCAGAGACTGTTCCAAGCAACGAAGGTCAGGTGCTGGGGGTAAACAAGAGTAATGGAAAAGGCACGAGTGGTTTTGACAATTTGGCTAAGAATTTAGGGATCAATTTGCCAGACAATAGCGGTGGAGCCAACATTTCTAAAGAAAATCCAAAGGGAAGTAGCTCTTTCAGGACTACTGGACCTCAGTCAAAGAAGGGAACAAACCAGGAACACAAAATGCTACAATGGGAATTTGTTGATCAGATTGCTTTGTTCGTGAACAACTCAGATAGAAGATCAGGTAAGGGAAAGGCTATAACAGAGAATCAATGAAGATATTGAGTTGGAACATCAGGGGTCTGGGAGGGAAATGGAAGAGATGCCTAATCAAAGAAACCCTTTGAAGGGAAAAGCCGGACATAGCGGTTCTGCATGAACCAATAAAAGAAATTGTGGACAGAAAATTAATCAAAGCTATTTGGGGTATCCGAGGGATGAACTGGACTGGCCTTCCAGCAACAGGATAAGTAGGAGGGATTATCATCATTTGGAAAGAAGAGGTTCTTTTGGGTCTGGAGGTAGATAAAGGAGACTTCTCCATCTCAGTTCTCTTCACCAATGTCACAAATGGTTTCAACTGAATCTTGGTAGGTGTTTATGGTCCAAACTCTCCTTCCGAAAGAGTAGGATTGTGGGAAGAACTGGGCTACTTACATGAATTCAAAGATTTGCCTTGGTGCATTGGTGGCGATTAGACCTGTTCATGGGCCGGGCCGGGCTTTTACTGTGTATTAACAAATTTTTTTAAGGCTCGAGCCCGAGCCCGGCCCGACCATCGGGCCTACAATTTGGGCCCGAGCCCGGCCCTCATAAAAAGCCCGAAGCCCGAGC